TCAGCAGGAGAAACTTTTGGTGGTTTTAATAGCAATTGGCAGCTGTATAATGGTGCTACTTATCATACTCATTTTTGTGCTGATAATCATTATAATTCAGAGAAAAAGAAGCAAAGGTATGTTGATATACCATAAAACTGTTTATTGAGGCAATTATATTTTTTACAATCCACAAATTTTAACGCAAATTCTGCCATGTATCAATCTGGGTACCATATTATAATTGATTTTCGCAGATTTTACTTTTGTAATTCAAGAAGGTATCCACAAAAATTGCAACCCTTAAAAAACCACTTATACAATAGATAGTCTAGCCAATAATAATTTACTTTTATTTTTACACTCTCTATAGATATTCATCCAAGAACAACGGAAAGGTATAGAAGGCACATTAAAAATTTTTTTTATTTCCCCCTTCATGCAGGGTCAGACAAGAACTCCCACTTACCAATATCAATAATGATGACACAATCGGAAGTTTACATACGAACTTTGAATATCTTGCTGCAACTGAAACCGGTAGAGCCCCACCTACAATCACCCATCATTATTCAACGATAAGTGACAACGTCTATGTTCAAACCTCTACTGACAACAATAAGGTTTCTGATGCAAGCCAACATTGCTACTCGTCTGTTCACACTAACACACAAAATGAAAATACAACGACAATTTCTGGTGATTCTGCTATTCCTACTGAAGAATACAATAAGTTAAATCATGATGAAAATTCAAGAGATACTACATTACCCAGGGGAATGGATATCTACAGCTCACTAGAGTTGTCACAGGAATCTTCATATAATCATATTGAACGTACATCAGGACCCAAAGGGCCACATATGGAGCACCAGAATGGATACAGCACTCTAAGAAAACAAGAGCAGTCATGAAACAAAATTATTTGAGTCTTAATATCTTTACTTTTGTCCATTTTGCATGCTCATTATTTTAATAGTATTCATAACTTTTAATGGATTTTATTTGTTATTAATTTTAACTATTAATTGAACGAGCACTATTAAAAGTGCATACACCTCGACACAATCTGTACGTAACAGTTTTAATAAATTAAGAGAAAATAATTAGTGAAACAAGTTTGAGACAGAGAAGCCTTAGCATGTAGTAGATTTATTAAAACTTAAGGAATGGTTTGAGACAGAGAATATTTTTTAGACATTTTTGCATGCTGCAGCAATGGAAAGGTGTGGCTCAATCAAACCAAATTGCAAACCTGGCAAACCATGCTCCACCCGCACACACAGTAAATGGTGGCACATGACCCTAAGTGGGGAAGAAAGCTTTAGTTTTTCTCTACTTTTAAACAGTTTAGCATACATTTGTTAGACTCTATTTGTTGCATACAAACGTCTATTCAGTCCCACACAGACAGACAGACAGGACGACTGCTTTACCCTCGATTAACGCCTACGCGAGTCTCGGGTAATAACGCCTACGCGTGTCTCGGGTAATGACTAGACGACTACAAATAGAACAGAGTAGAGCACAACTAGATCAATAATCAATGATCAGTATCTAAGACTATTATTATGTCAAGCTCTTTGTTGTTTTGCGCTTCCATCCTATTGTTAATTATAATCTTAAAGGAATCCTCAGGTAAGAGCAATATCTAAAATGGACTGCTTGATCATTGCTTTCTCTTGTCTTGATAGCTCAGTGCACTACATTTCAATTCACTGTTCAACCTCCGGCAGAGCTTGATTGCAATCCATTTGACACAGTTCCAGGCACTCCAGTATGGAGATTAAGAACAAGATGTACTGCAGAAAGACTTAATGGAACACAAAGTTTTGATGTAAACTGGTTTCATCGTAAAAGAACTGGAGAAATAGAAAACCTCTCAAGGCCAGAAACATGGTCAGCAACTTCAAATATAGAAGATGTTTACTTTGGAAATCAACTAACAAACAGACCATACACTGAAGACATGCTGGGAGAGTACTGGTGTCAGGTTGTTGTCCAAAACCAAGTACTGTTAGGAATGAGTAACGTGTTCACCATAAATGATCCATATTCATATGATGTGGAACGCTGTATAGGAACTAAGTCAGTATCTGAAACGCTTTGTGCTGACAATCCTCCACAAGTCTCTGTCTCATCTTCAGCATTGGACTTAAATCCTTCCAGTAGTACTGGTATAACCTTTTTAACAATAAGCCCTACACTAAGCCAAGATGTACCACACTCATCTTCAGTTACTACTAGTAGTAGTATGACATCAATGTCACTGGCTAGTGTAGAGTCATCAGAAATTACTTCAGTGCTAATATCACCTATCTCTGATAATTTAGTATCAACAACTTCTACTAAAACTTTGAAATCATCATCTTCTACAAATTCTAATGGAGCCATGACATCACCATTGTCTACTCCATCTACTACTGTAGCTATGGTATCACCATCTTCTACTGTGAACAACAACATATCTACAGGTGCAATAGTTATGTCTACTATCACTAGCAGCACCCCCACTGTATCAACTGCTACAGCAAAGGATAATTCAATGCTACTAATAGTGTCTGCAGCAGCTATTGTGATGCTGTTACTAATTATCATCCTCCTTGTTGTTATTATAGTATTAATAAGCACAAAACCAAAGCAAAGACGAGAGGTTCCAGGTAAGAATTTTCCTAATGCATAAATTGTGATGCGTCTATCAACAACTGAATGTTTTTGTTAGGAGTGCCTTGTTGTGGTACAATATTTAATATCTTATGCACTGCATTAAGCTAATGAGGTTTAGTCAATGCAGCATTATATATCCCAAATATAGATGATACCATATAAAATATATCAACAGTCTCTCACACATACAACTTCAAGTCACAACCTCTTTAATTGCATTTCTTATTTCAGGGAAATACCATGAAGACACGCAGAATGAATACTTCAATAGAATGTCAGTCAGGTACAATTTTAAGTTAATTTTAGTTCCACACTATATTTACAATACAATTTGATTAACAGAGATTCAAGGCGTAACCTACTTACAAGAGAAACATTGTCTCCTAAAAGCCCACAAAGATCAACAGTAAATGATAATTTCTCAACAATTGATGAATCGCCCAATGCCCACATTTATGATGACATGCTAGAATGCTCAGCTGAGCCATCTCCTAAATTTATCACACTTTCGAGATCATTAAATCCTCCCCCTCATCCTTATGATGACGTATCATTTTCGTATAGCCACAACACCAGTCCTATTCCGCCTCCACCTCAATTTAGAACAAGTAAAAAATAATTAGTGGCATTGTCTATTGATTTATGTCTTGTTTTAGGTTTTGTGTATGGAAAAAAATAGAAAATAAATTTTTATCAAGACACAGTGCATTCAAATCAATCAACCCTTTTTAAATCTGTAACAATGAACAAATTAAGATTATTTTACAAAATTGATGTTCTTTTCTAAAAATAATTATTTTACAGTCAGCTAATAATCATAATAATAAAATCATCATTATGTTATTTTTACAATTCACTCTCATAATCTAAACCTTCAGGAGCAGGATCACAATGGGGAGAGATTGAAACCTTACCATCCTCACAATGATCTAATTGTTTGGTGTAAGTTCCAGTTTCACCTTTTGCCTCATCATCAGAAACCAGTTTAGAGTTTTTACTTTCATTTAAATTATTTGAGGCATCCTTGTCACTACTAACCAGGAGTGTGGAGGGATCAACATACTTATAGAAATAAGACATGATTACAAACACAATGCAAGAGATTTCTATAGCAGCAGCAAAGAAGAAAAATTCATAGGCCTAGAGTGTGTTAGCAATAGTAATGGAGCAGTTGCTATGAATAAAAATGCATACCTGATTACTAAAAATAGAAGATTCAGCTATTATCACAACAACCATGTCACCAAATGCTACAGTTAGCAGCCAAGCAGCTGTACACAGTGACTTCATACTGACAGGTGCCTAAATTAAGTTTAATTAGTAAGGTAACAACAAACATAAATAACAATCAAGGAAGATAAGGCTTTTTCACCTCACCTTTTTCAACCTTCCTCCAATCAAAATTGGATTATTTTACAAAATTTTAAAGTTACTTAAAAATTGAGCCAAAGTCTTTGCTATAGTACCATCACTACCATGAACTTTGGCCAAACTTTGCCAAAATTAAAAAGTAGAAAACTCTCCATTTAAATAATATTCTGATACCGTACAGGATGATTTATTGGTAAAAAATTAATATTGCCAATTGGCGGTTTTATGAAGAAATTGCCAGTATAAAATCTGCCATTTTGTTTCAATCTGAGCATGCTCAATGGCACGTGGCGCAAAATCGCCAATATAAAATCCGCCAATTTCTTTCCACAAGCAAATCTGCCAAATATTACTCCTGCCAATAAATCATCTTGTACAGTACACATACATACTTCTTAAAGCTCTCTCTTAGTCTCTTTTAACGAGCCTAACCTGTGAATAAGCAAATTCCAAACCAGTGATAGAGAAAAGGATTTCACTAGCAGTAATAATCACATACATAGGGACTTGCATAAATATAGATATAGAGTTTGGGGAATTAGCCAGACCAGATTGGAGGCTTACGCCCTATAATGAAAGCAATCAGTTTGAAACAGTAATTTTGCTTTCACTACATTATCTGAATCTTCAACTATCGTCATAGTATATATTCCACCAGAGCGAAGTTCTTTTGGTAATTCCTTTATCTATGAAAATAATAATTAACATGTTACAAAATACAAGTAAATATTAAATTCATACTAACAATTGTTCCAATTGTTTCATTGTCTGTTTGTATTCGATAGTAATATCTACAAAAATACAAAAACGAATACCAATTATCAACTACAGCAATATACATGTACCTTTTAATAGATATATTGGCTGGTTTAGAAATATCATTCATTGTAATATTCTCAACGTGGTACTCCATTTCATCATCAGAACAATCACTTGATGAGCAAAGTGAAAAGTCTGCTGATGAGAATGTACTAACTTCACCCATAAAAACTCTATATCACAAAAAAGTAAAAAATATCATAAAAATTCATTTATTACCTAACATTAACTTTGTCACCTTTAGGAGCCCATTGAATAGTATCATTCTAAATATGCATTATTATAGTAGCTAAAGTAATGTCAACAAACCGTTATTAAATCAGTTTCAGTTAGGAATAACTGAAGAATATGTTTCTCATAAACTTCCAAGTAAAACGTCATATTTGAGTTGCCAACAGTCACCGTCAGGTTGTGATCATTAGTTTTCAAATCGTCTACACCAAATTTCTGTGACTAAAATTAAAATATAATTATAACTTGTCATTATTGTGAATAATTATAATTATGTGAACATACATAAGCTTCATCCAAGGAAAAAGTTTGATTAGCGTCAGGGTAGCTAAAGTGAGCCTGTTGATTCAAACCATTTGTAATGACTATGCGTGCCTCATCATTTTTGAGCAATCCAGACTGAGACTGTATGTACAAGTCAAGAAATCCAGCATATAAGAATGCAACTCCAGCAATCGCCATTCCAGTTCCCATACGCTGGAGAGGTTTCTTGAATATGTTACAACGGGCAAAAAGAGGATATATAATAGTCTCAAATATCGGGATGAAGATGATAAGAAATATTGGATTAAGGGACGAGACTTGATCAGGCAAGATGACAAACTTTCCAAAGCTTCCGTTTAATCTCAAAGCCTGTAGTGTCCATCGTGAACCTTGCTGATCGAATAGTGCCCAAAACATTGGCACAGGCAAAAACATAACGAGCACACGGAGCAAAAGCCAGACGTCAAAAACAAATTTACGAGAGAATTTTGGACTAGCATTGTCCATGAAGTTACGAGTATTGTCAATCTTTCCGTATTTAATGCGGTGATAAATGGCATATCCAACTGACCATGGCACTTTAAAGAACAACATAGCTGCCTCTCTCTTTGGTTTAGTTATAACATACCACTTTGTGCCAAGGACAAAAATACCTAATAATAATAAGAAGAATAATAACAATAGTAATAATAATAATAATAATAATAATAATACTATTAATAATAATAAAGCTGAAGCGCTGGCATAGGATTGATCCAGCTTGCTGTAGAGGTCCTTGGTGGCTGGAGCTCCTCAGCTGCCTCTGTCATTTCTTCCATTGCTCATTTTTGTAGCATTGTGCAGAGGCAATACTGCTATGTGGGCCACATGCAGAGCTCCCCTTTCTTCTGTCATAGACGGTCTTCTTTGAAGGAACTTTACTTTTCTTTTAGCCGGTTTTGGGTTTGTTTTGCTTTGTTTTTGTCTAGATGAGGTCTAGTTTTTTTTGTCACAGTTTTTATTAGGTCTATTGGTTTTTCTTTGGGTTTGTTTAGGCTTTGTTTCTTCTTTTCTTCTTCTTCTTCTTCTTCTAATAATAATAATAATAGCAATAACAATAATAATAATAATAATAATAATAATAATAATAATAATAATAATAATATAAATGCATTAATGCATACCAACTGATACAATCATTAGAATAGCAGGAACTCCAAATGCTAGGGGAAAGCACTGATCCTCACCAAAACAGGATACATAACCTAATAAAATGGACATCAATATCATTAAACAATAATAAAGATGTACAACAAACCTCTCAATACTGGTGTCAGTAGAGTTGAGATAAGACTGCCAGCATTAATTGTGAAATAAAATATTGAAAAGAACACAGGGAGCAAGTGAACATTCTTTGACGTAAACTGATCACCACAAAATGGTGATACACATGGTTTAATACCACCAGTACCAAATGCTATTACTCCCATAGCAATTGATGCTAAAATACTGTGAAATATTGTTATGAGAATGAGAGACAAAATAAACTAACATACATACATGTTAAGGACACGATTAGAGCCAAATGGAATGGCTGAGATAGCCATTAAGACATTACCAATGGAATAAAGTATGGAGAGGCTTAGGATAGTCCTAAAAAGTTATTATTACAAAAGATAATAATCTACTTAATATAATCAGTACCTACCCATACTTCCCCAAACAGCTATCAGATATAATGGCCCCAACCAGTGGCAATAAATAACAAAGGACAATAAAGGAATGGTAAATTGCTGTTGTAGAGTTTTCATCAAAGTCCAAGAACATTGTTAAAAAGAGCACCAGTACAGCTACATGTATGAGATAAATATGAGTATGAGGAAGAATACAATGAAGCATACACACATGCATATTATTATTAAGAAAGGATCAGAAGGATGGAAGTACAATGTATATACCTCTTAATCTAAATCGTTCACAAAACTCACTCCACATGATAAAGAAGACAGAGGAAGGGAGCTGGCAAATCTTGCACTGCACAATGCACAAGACACAATAGAGCTCTTGTAGGATTGTAATGAATGGGAGGGGGGGTATGTGGCTATGACTGTTTGCCATGTTGAGTCAAGAATGTAAATGGTGAAATGAGGAGAATGGAGCAAAAATCTAAATAAATTCTGTAGTTTACATTACAGGCAAATGCAAGGTAGGAGATGAAGGTATTGGGTAAACAACACTCTATAATATTCTACAGCCAAGTATGATATCTCATCAATGGAAAATCTCAGTTTGTTTCTGTATCTCCATTAATTCTCTGTACATTCTTGCCACCCAACATAATGGACAGTCATAGCTGTACCCCCCCCTCCCCGTTGATTACATCCGTCCAAGAGCTCTATGATTCTAAGACACTATAATTTGATACAACTTACCCAGACTCTTCCCCATGCTTTACCAGACAATTTACTAAATCTACTTGGTTTACTCAAAGTCACACTTTCCTGATCTACAGAAAAATGTGTGAAGATACACAATACAAACTCAAACAAACCTGGGAAAATTTCACATTGCCCAGTATCTCTCTTGGATTTCCCAGTCTCTGTATCACATACATTTGATGTATCCTCTAGAATCAAATTTAGGACTAAACAATGGACTATCAGTGTTAACACATGTAACCTTCCTGTTCCTCTAAGACTAAGAGAGTCTTGTCATCTTCCATTATTGGTGCAATCACCTGGGGAAAGGCTAGTCATAAATATTTCATTTACTCTCATATTTATGGGCTAGTCTCGCGTAGCCAGACCCAACCTCTGTGCCTGCATGGTGCCTGCGGTTGGCCCGCATGCACGGAGGATGGGTCTGGCTACGCGAGACTAGGGAAAGGCCCGGGGTCGGAGTGCTGACCCACAATGATAATATTTGATTCTATTATTTGAAAAAAAAACAAGAACAGCCGAACCGCACCCTACTTCTTTGATCTTTGCACTCGCAACACCCACGCAAGTCAGTCTATTCTAGTGAATTTTGGAATAATAAAATTCATTATTATTTCAAAAGAATTTATGATGCTGATCTTTTTGAATTTTGATATAATGATGCAATAGATCTACAAATCTAAATTTCTGACATTTGCCACATATAAGCAGTCTTTCGTGGTGGCAGAAGTCTTGTTATTTTGTGGTATTAAAGTGAATAATATCATTTACATTTAAAGGGCAACCGACACGAAAAATTGGGTTGTGATTAAAAATCAAAAATATTTTCATTATGGTGTAGAATGGCTTGCAAAAATACTTTTGGTGCAAAATAATTGCTCTTTCCTAGAGAAAAACTGCTTTTAAAATGCATAATTTACTTCCTCATTTCTGCATCCTGTATTTAGCAAATGTGGGTGTGGTCACGTGTGACAACTTCATCATAGATAGTAGAGTATAAATACTCTAATATTATACTCTAATATCTATGACTTCATGCATAGATATTAAATGACAGGGATTGGAAACGGAAGCGTGGGCGTAGCCCAACCTCCATTCATTTGTATTGCTGCTAGGCTGACAGAGGCTCGTTGAAATTTTTTGTCACAAATTACCCTTGATTTTTTTTCTCTTAGAAACAATATCTCGCGAACAAGCAGGCCCGTAGCCAGGGGGGGTTCGGGGGGTTCGGACGAACCCCCTGTTGTAGCTGCAAAAAAGTTTTAGATTAGCTCCTGTCATGAAGAACAGCACTGCAAAAGCAGGATTAGCATTTTGGCAACAGCGAGAAGCACAGATAGCCATTTTAGCTGAGTCAGCACATGGCTGAGATGCGTAAATTAAGACCACACCTACCAACCACGCCCATTTTTTGTCAAAAAAATTTCGCTGCGCGCGAAGCGCGCAGCAATTTCCGCACCCCCTATTTCAGGTTCCTGGCTACGGCCCTGACAAGTGTTCCTATGCAAGTGGAATTAATGCATCAAGAAGCCTAATGTTTCCTCTTAATAATTCTGTTTTCTATTGTATAGATAATTTTACTATGTTCATGTTATGGCTCTTTTAAAACCATAAAATGTATTTTTTGTCATTATAATCCCTTTTTTGAAAACAAGCTAGAGTAAGATACAAGATCTTTATAATCATATGAAAGAGCTTTCATTTGTATATGGAATGATACTAGTTAGAGTTAGAATCCATGAAGCATGAGTTTGTTACAACAGAAAAAGGGCGAAAAATGAAAAAATTTGTTGTACCTATAACTCGTTGCAAAATAGCGTTGTAGAAGTAAAAACCTTGCTGCAGGTAGTCCTAAACTTTCTATATGGAACGGTAGGTATATCATAAGTAAGCGTCCTCTTGGATTTCCATAAATATCCTTCGAAGTCCTTGCAGCACAGCCTCACTAATGGAAGAGATGGGAAATCAACCAGGTATTGGGCCGGTAACCAATAGCAACATCAACTAGCCTACGCCCCCGTTTCCAATCCCTTTCATTTACTCTATTATCTATGCTTCATGTTAGATTTCTGGAGTTTTGACTATTTTAATGCAGAAAAAATGTACTCTCTATTGTTTAGCAGGTAAAGAAGGTATGATTTAAGGGCAAAAGTAATAATTATAAGCAAGTTCAGAATTTCATGGTTTTTCTCTATTTTGAAAATAAATTAGCTGAATTCATTCTCCTTTGCATCCTTTATAACACTGCAGCTTTCATTTCTGCATTAAAATAGTCAAAACTCCAGAAATCTAACATGAAGTTGTGTATAAACCAATGGAGCAAACAGACATCTTCCCTCTTGTGATGTCACACGTGACCACACCCGCATTTGCTAAATACAGGATGCAGAAATGAGGAAGTAAATTATGCATTTTAAAAGCAGTTTTTCTCCAGGAAAGAGCAATTATTTTGCACCAAAAGTATTTTTGCAAGCCATTCTACACCATAATGAAAATATTTTTGATTTTTAATCACAACCCAATTTTTCGTGTCGGTTGCCCTTTAATGTTACTACAAATCTGGCCCTTCCTAGTATAGTAGCTTCCATTAGTTCCTTGCAATAGATAAATTTGTATTTTACAATAATAATTATGAAAAAAATTAATCATCCAAAACATGAATAATTTTATGTAAATTTTTAAATTTTAGACCTATTTCTGTTACTTATGTGGTAAAGGTGGACATTAGAATTTGATGCAATGGTCTTCCTGTAGTGATGTAATCAAGTAGAACACCTTAAGGAATCTCAACCTCCAGATTCCTTTCTTTATACAAAGGAATACCTTGAAAGGGAATGTCACACTATAAATGGTTTTTTATACAAAAATAAAAAAGAGATAAATCAAAGAAGGTATTATACAAGATATTTATGCATCCAGGTTGTACAAATGCATGTGATCATGAAAGAATAAAGAAAGCATCTTTTCCTCCTGTAGAACAGATGCAACAACTTGCAGGAATTGTCAACAACGACAATGACATTTTCTTATGTGCAACACATTATGCATGCATGCATAAAAACTGGCATCATCCTCACCTTGTGCCTCTTGTGGTTCCTGCCCAAAGTCAGGACATACGTTTACCCATCACTGCGCTGACATGAGTTGTATCACAAAATTGGTGATGATTTTTAAGGTCAAATAAACACAACAAACAACAATGTACATGCAGTTTACACCATCAGCAAATGTAGAGAATAAATCTAGCAACATGCACATCTGCATCTTACTGTGGCCCATGGTTAAAAAACATGGACTACTGTTACACAAGTGATAGCTAATTTTCATTTGTACTACTAACTTGGTACTAAGCCATATAATTCATTTTATCATGCTCATTATGTCCCACAGCCAATATAATAACATTATAAAACTAAACATTCGTTGTCCTAGCAATATCATGCATAGTCCTTTTTATTGCCATAAAACATAGGATTTTCACTCTCTATTAAAAGTATTTAATTTATGATCTTAAGTTAATCAGATTTTCCAGCTAAAACAAAGTACAACATAGTCAAAATGCCATTAGCAAATTGCAATAATTTTTTCCACTTAAAAATAAGTGGCTTTAAGTAATGTGGATCATAAATATGGACCAGAATATCTATGGCTCTGTTGTTGGGGCAATCAGGCAAGTAGAAAAATTTTAATAAAATATTGTGGACTCAATTAAATCAGTTATTGTTAGACATTGACTCCAATAATTGATCACAATTCAATTTTGTTATGATATTCTTAAATCAGTGGTTCTGTGCATGGAAAAAATAGAAAATTCAAGACACAGTGCATTCAATCATACATATCTATGATTCAATCAATCTGTAATAAGATCTGTAACGATAAACAAATTAAGATTATTCTACAAAATTGATGTTCTTATTAAAAATCTTACAGCCAGCAGCAAAAATTATAATAATCATAATAATAAAATCATTATTATTAATATTATGTCATTATTAAAATTCACTCTCATAATCTGAGCCTTTAGGAGCAGGGTCACGGCGGGGAGAGGGTGAAACCTTACCATTCTCATAATGATCCAAATGGCTGGTGTAAGTTTCAATTTTACTTTTTGCCTCATCATCAGAAACCAGTTTAGAGTTCTCGCTCTCATTTAAATTATTAGCTTGATCCTTGTCACTACTAACCAGGAGTGTGGAGGGATCAACATACTTATAGAAATAAGACATGATCACAAACACAATGCAACAGATTTCTATAGCAGCAGCAAAGAAGAAAAACTCGTAGGCCTAGAGTGTGTTAGCAATAATAATGGAGCAATTATTGGTATGAATAAAATATATACCTGATTACTAAATATAGTAGATTCAGCTATTATCACAACAACCATGTTACCAAATGCTACAGTTAGCAGCCAAGCAGCTGTGCACAGTGATTTCATACTGACAGGTGCCTAAATTAAGTTTAATTAGTAAGGTACGTAACAACAAACATGACAACAATAATAAAATCAAGGAAGATTAGGGAGGCACTAATGATCTCACTTTCACTCTCAGACCCTTTTTAAGGAAGACCCTCCAATCAAAATCAGAGTTTGAAGTTGCTCAAAAGTTGGGCCAAAAATCCCTGTACTCTATACTCTAGTACATGTACATGGTCTTGGGCCAAATTTTGCCAAAATTGAAAAGGAGTAAACTTTCCATTTTTATGTTTTTCCCTGATACACATACATGTACTCATGTTGTATAGAAAGTTTGAGCTCATTCCAATCAAAATTAATTTTTTTATAAATGTTTAAAGTTGCCCAGAAATCTGGTCAAAAGTGAAAAAGGAGAAAATTTTCCATTTTTATATTTTTCCCGATACATATACTGGTACATGTACTTTGTTGCATAGAAAGTTTTTTGCTGGTTTTAATCAAATTTGGATTTTCTACAAAATTTCAAAGTTGCTGAAAACTAGGCCAAAATCCCTGTATTATAAACATAGTACATGGCCCTGGGCCAAATTTCACTAAAATTTAAAAGGAGAGAATTCTCCATTTTAATAATTTTTCTGATACATATATACATGTACATGCTTCCTACAGCTCTCTCTTAGTCTCTTTTAACAAGCCTAACCTGTGAATAAGCAAATTCCAAACCAGTGATAGAGAAAAGGACTTCACCAGCAGTAATAATCACATACATAGGGACTTGCATAAATATAGATACAGAGTTTGGGGAATTAGCCAGACCAGATTGGAGGCTTACACCCTATAATGAAAGCAATTAATTTGAAACATTCATTTTGTTTTGACTACATTTTCTAAATCTCCAACTATCGTCATAGTATATATTCCACCAGAGCGAAGTTCATTTGGTAATTCCTTTATCTATGAAAATAATAATTAACATGTTACAAGTAATTGTTAAATTTATACTAACAATCGTTCCAATTGTTTCATTGTCTGTTTGTATTCGATAAAAATATCTAGAAAAAATACAAAATGAATACCCATTATTAACTACAGTAATATACATGTACCTTTTAATAGATATATTGGCTGGTTTAGAAATATCATTCATTGTAATATTCTCAACATGAAACTCCATTTCATCATCAGAACAATCACTTGATGAGCAAAGTGAAAAGTTTGCTGATGAGAATGTACTAACTTCACCCATAAAAACTCTATATCACAAAAAAGAGTAAAATATCATAAAATTCATTTATTACCTAACATTAACTTTGTCCCCTTTAGGAACCCATTGAATAGTATCATTCTAAATAAGCATTATTAGTAGCTAAACTAATGTCAACAAACCGTTGTGAAATTATAGCCATCACTAGTTTCAGTTAGGAATAACTGAAGAATATGTTTCTCATAAACTTCCAAGGGAAAACTTCTAATTGAGTTGCCAACAGTCACCGTCAGGTTGTGATCATTAGTTTTCAAATCCTCTATATCAAATGACTGTGACTAAAATTAAAATATAATAACTAATCATATTGTGAACAATCACATGTGGACATACATAAGCTTCATCCAAGGAAAAATATTGGTCAGCATCAGGGTAACTGAAATTAGCTTGTTGATTCAAACCATTTGTGATGACTATGCGTGCCTCATCATTCTTGAGCAATCCAGACCGAGACTGTATGTACAAGTCAAGGAATCCAGCATATAAGAACGCAAATCCAGCAATCGCCATTCCAGTTCCCATACGCTGGAGAGGTTTCTTAAATATATTACAACGGGCAAAAAGAGGATATATAATAGTCTCAAAAATCGGGATGAAGATGATGATAAATATCGGATTAAGGGACGAGACTTGATCGGGCAAGATGACAACTTCCCAAAGCGTCCGTCTAATCTCAAAGCCTGCAGTGTCCATCGTGAACATTGCTGATCAAATAGAGCCCAGAATATTGGCAAAGGCAAAAACATAACGA